GAGTGAGCCACGGGCCGGCCCCTAGACTGATCTCTTTAAAGGCTGCATGATATTTCATTTTGTGACTGAATGGTATTTTTGTTAACGAGCCTCCTACTGATGTAGTTTTAGGTTGTTTCTTTTTCTTTTCCTTTTTTTTTTTTGATTGCTACTATACACTATACTGTAATATTCTTGGACGTATGTCTTTGTTTAGTTATCCTTATGATAAATTCCCAGAATAGGAATCATTGAGTTCAAAGTTGCATACATTTAAAATTTTGAATCGTATCCTGGGAGGTGGTTTTCCAGGAAGGTTGTTCCCATTTACAGCCTCACTAAGGAGGTGCGAGCTTGTTTTCTCGTATTCATGACATTCCTGACTGGACGTAATTGCTCTTTTTAGTCTCTGCTAATTGGATAGAAAGAAACTTGTATCTTGTTTTATTTCACCTTCCTTTTGTTATTAGGGAGGTTAAGCATCTTTTCACATGCTCCGTGTCTGGAAGAATTTTAAATGTAGATCAGAGAGACAGGAAGACCAATTTTGAGTCTAGTGCAACTCAGATTCTCTTAATCAATAATGGTTAAGTGCCTGGGCTGATTGCACATAGGTAGCTTGTGAAATAAATCACTTTTACAAAATCCACCTTAACTCATATTTTGCTCGTGTTTAGCTCAAATCTTCGTAACTGAGATATAAGTATCAACCTATCTCTCCAGATATCATGTACTTTTAATCCTCCAGACACATCCCCCATATGTGAACCCAAGCATTGAATGAATCACCCCAACACAATGGGTTTTGAATGATAGGAGGACAGCCAGGATCACAAATCCCAGCTTTCCCACGTACAAGCTGTGGGCCTCTGGGAAAGTTGCTTAACCTCTCTGAGCCTCAGTTTCCTTCTCTATAAAATGGTTGTGAACATTTTGCCTCATGGGCTTGCTGTGAGGATCAGCTGAAATTAATGCATGTGAAGAGCTCAGCACAGGCTCCTGCTACGCAGGAAGTGCTCAGTGTGTGTCAGATAGCCGTTGTCAGCGGGAAAGTTCTTGGTGCTGACTCCAAAGAGCACAGGTTTGTTTTCGTGTGACCCCTGTCTCCCTGGAGTGGTAAAAAGATTTGCACCTGAGTCCTAAATCCTCCACCCACCCTTGGGAAAACAATCTCGCCTCTTTGTAGAATCACTTGCAGAGTCTGTGCCATTCTCACAGGGGCTGTCGCGTGTGACCCCTGTCTCCCTGGAGTGGTAAAAAGATTTGCACCTGAGTCCTAAATCCTCCACTCACCCTTGGGAAAACAATCTCGCCTCTTTGTAGAATCACTTGCAGAGTCTGTGCCATTCTCACAGGGGCTGTCCTTCACGCACACATCCTGTGTCTCCACCATGCAACTGCCACCAGGTACTGCAACCCCGGGGCTGCAGATTGGTGCTTCTGACCAGCTTTGCAGCAAAAGCTCTCACAGGCCTGTTCTCTCCAGTAGGAGGGGCCTCACTGATCCCTGCTTACAAACCAGCCAAGGGCAGGTCCCTTCTGGCAGGGCTTTGTATTTCCTTTCTTGCCTCACGATGAAGCAGGAGAAGAAGGCTCTAATTATACTGAGGGATCAGGCTGCTGCTCTTCACTACCCTGGGATTCTCATCCTGTCTGCAATGTGGACGCCACCTCTCCTCTTCCCTTACTGGCAGGTATCACCGGCTCCACCTGGGCTGGCCGGCCCATGCTTATGCGGTGTGAGAATGTCTTTTTCATGACAATTGCCCAGCCTGAGGTGTTAGCAATCTTTTTGGTGTTTGCCAATCTGATGGATGACAAATATTTTATTATTGTTTTAATTTGCATTTCCCTGATTACTCGTGATGTTCAACATCCTTTCATTTCACAGAGGGCATTTGTGTTTTATCTTCAGTGACTTGTTCATTTGTATCTGCTGTCAACTTTTCTATTGGACTTTTTGGCATTTTTTTCTTATTACTTTCTAGGAACTCTTTACATAAACTAGATAGTAACATTTTATCATTTGTTGCGAATATTTCCTCTCAGCTGATCACCGGTCTTATGACTTCGTTATACAAAAGTTTTAAATTTTGATATCATCATACCTTAGGTTTTTTTAGTTAGGCCTCTGGATTTTAATTTGCTTGGGAGAGCAGACCCAGACAGTCTGACTCTGGGGCCTCAGTCCTTAGCCACTATATTAAATCTTTCCTATTGCTGCTGTAACAAATTGCCACACATTTAGTGGCTTAAACAATATAAATTTATTTTCTTAGAGTTCTGGAGGTCAGAAGTCCAAAATGGGTCTCACCGGGCTAAGATCAAGGTGTTGGCAGGTCTGCATTCCCTTCTGTAGGCTGTAGGGGAGAATCTATTTTCCCAGCTTCCAGAAGCTGCCTTCCTTCCTTAGGTTGTGGTCTCCTTGCACCTTCAAAGCCCGGGGTGGCCAGTTGAGTCCTTCTCATGCTACCATCTCTCTGATTTTCACTCTTCTGCCTCTCTCTTCCCCATTTAAGGACCCTAATGTGTACATTGAGACCACCCAGATGATTCATGATAATCTTCTCATTTCAAGGTCAGCTGATTAGCAATTGTAATTCCATGTGCAACCAACCTTCATCCCACCTTTGCCATGTAATATAACATGTTCATAGATTCTGGGGATTGGACACAGGCACATTTTGGAGAAGGGAGTGTTTATTCGGCCTACTGCAACCACTCTTCCATATTGCTTTTCCAAACTTTAGTCACCTGCTTCCACCCCCAGGGATTCATCTCTGCCTCACACTCATGAATCTGTGGGTTAGATCAATGCATCAGAGTCACCTGGAGGGCTTGTACAAGCTTAGATCCCTGAGCCTCATCCTCAGAGTTTCTAACTCAGTAGTTTTGGGGCAAGGACTGAGAATTTGCATTCCTAACAGGTTCTGAGGTGATGCTGAAGCTGCCCATCTGGGACCACACTTTGAGAACCACTGAGTTAGATCATTCATTCATTTATCCTTTAAGCGTTTACCAATATCTGCTCTGTTTTGGGAACTGTGCCCATGCCATGATAA